TTTATTTTATTATATATATTTATTTAATTTTTTTTTTTTTTTTTTTTTTTTTTGTAAAAAATAATTCTTTAAAATACATTCTTTAGTTTTTTAAAAAAAGAAAAACGTTACACATAATATTTTATTAACTAATAAATCTAATTCCTGAAATTTTGATTTTCACATTTATACAGTATGGAATTTGTTCATAGAAACATCTTGCTATCTAAAAAATGAAAAGTTAAAATTAAAAACAAAAATAATGTAAGAAAATTATTTATGGGAAAATTTTAAAATGATGTGGAAAATAAGTATGACAATAATAAAAAAAAGAAAAAACATAATTCTGTCTTTTTTATGAATTTACAAAAAGTTAGAAATTTTTTGTTTTTCTTTTAATCTAAATTTATATTTCATCTAATTAAAATAAAAAATATATATTGTAATAAATTTTGCATATACAATTTTTATATTTAAGAAAATTATACATTTTTATATGCAAAAATTAGTAATGATATTATAATAATTTTAAAAGAATGAATATTTAAAAAAAAATAATAAAATAAAATAAAATAAAATAGAAATTAAATAAATTCTTATAATAAAAATATTAACAGTACAAATAAAACATATAGTAAATTTATGTATATTATATATATATCTATTAGTTTTCAACAATTTTCAAAAAAAAAAAAATATATATTTCCAATACATTTATTATTAAGAAAAAATAAAAAAAAAAAAAAAAAAGTAAAATTTTAAAGACTAACAAAATTAAAAGTACATATATATATATAAGACATACTTCCAGAAATTTCGTAATATACTTTAAAAAAAAAAAAAAAAAGTATTTTTTTCGTAGAAAAAGTTAACTATGATATATTTTTATTTTGTTATTATAATAATTGTACAATTAAGGTTTTACAGAGAATATAAATTTAAGTATTCTTATAACACAGTATTATTGACAGAGAGAATTAAAAGAGGTAAAGAAGCTTTTGATGAAATATTGAAAGCAAAAAGAAAAGCAGAAGAAGAATATAAAAAAAAAACTAGAAACAGTCAAAATGAAAATATTGAAGAAAATATATATGTAAAAGAAATAAAATGTTATGAATATGTTTTAGAACAATTAAATAACTTAAATATGTATAATTGTAATGAAATAAATGAGAATAATAAATCATTATTAGCTTTAGCAAAAACAAGATGTATTTTCGTTAAATCAATAAGAAACTTCCCTGATGAAAATTCAGGTTGTGTATTAAATACAAAAAAATTAAGTAAATTACAAATATATTTATATAATCATAATTTATTTGATGAATTTCAAAACGAAAACTTTCCTAAATCATTAAGTTTAGATGAATTAAAAAAGATAGAAAAAATAAAAAATCCATGCGAAACTTTTGATGATATTAATAACTCTCACTTAATAAATGATAGGCCATTTTTAACTGAGGATAACCATCATATATATAATAAAAACAATATGCCAAAAGAACATATACTACATGAAGATATGGAATTAAAAAAAAAATTATGTGAAAATTTAAAATATAAAATTATAACTAATTGTACTGGAAATAATAATATGTCTGATGTTGCATTTCAAATATATCATTCGGAATTAAATCATATTGATGATATATGTTTTTATATACAATCAACAGAATGGAATAAGAGAACAGAAGAAAATGTTAAAATTTTTTAAAATATAATATATATATCATTTTAATAAATATAAAAATATAATTATTTTATAACTTTTTTTTTTTTTTTTTTTTTTATTAAAAATAAAACATAAATATAAAAGATTAATAAACTTGCAGAAACTTCTTTGTATATAACAAGACAGATGACAACAAATTTAGAAAATATGAAGTTAATAGAAAATGCACAAGTAAAACAAATAGAAAATACAAATAGGTATATATTAAAAAAAAGAAAATAATAATCTTTTATAAAAGAAACAATATATATAAAATTTCATACTTTTTTTTTTTTTTCTTTTAGGTTTGATATTTTCTTAAAGGGGCTTAAAAATGATTTTGGTGAAATTATACAAATTTTATTAAAAATAAAAAAGCATCATGAATCTATGACCAGTAAAAAAAATAAATATAAAATAATAAAATAACTTTTTGAAATTAAACATTTTAAGATAACGATTTTACAAAAAAAAAAAAATATAGAATTTTTAAGGGGATTTAAAATTATTGTGATTTATTTATTGATAATATTATTAGTCCTTTTCATAACCTCACGAAACTATGCATACAATAGTAGAAAAAAAATAATTACTTGTAATAATAAAATAACAAAATGAATTATATATAATAAATATCACTAATTATTTAACTTAATTATTTGAATATAAGTATATATGCTTTTTTATTATAACATTGTAATTATTAGATTTTTATTCCTTTTTATTAGGTGTTATATTTTGTTACTTAACAGAATGGATATTTAAAAAAATAATTACACTTATTAAAAGATACATACTGTTAAACATTAGCCAATATATAGTTAATTATTCAATCAAGGGAATAAGATATGTAAAAAATAATACAAACAACAAAAAAAAAAAAAAATGAATTTTAATTTAAATTTTAATGTTACAATTATATTTTTAATTAAATAATTTTATTTTTTATCCTTTTTTTTAGTTATTTTTTGAATTAATCTTTTAAAATTTTTTTTATTCCCCTTTTTGTAGGCTTTTGTAATAGTTTGTGTAAAAATATTAATAAGAACCATTATATCGTATAGATAAAAGAATATATAATATAAAAATATAGTTTTTAATTCATTTTATTAATCTATTAATTTATTTATTTTTTATTTTTTTATATTATTTTTCTTTTTAATTTTAATCATACTTTTAAATGAATATTTTATCTTTATAGTTATAAAGAACCCGTAAAAGTAATAGAAGAACAACTAAATGATATAAAAAAAATTGTTGAAAAAAATCAACAAAATAAAAACAGTTTTAAAGAAATAAAAACAGAAGGTGATTTTAAGGACAAATTAGATCAAGAAACAAGTATGTATAAAAGAAAAAAAAAAGGCATTTATAAATAAAATAGACATTTATTAAAACTTTGTAAAATATAAAATAAAAATATATTTATTCAAAATAAAAATTTAATTAAAATATTACATAATTTTTTATGTTTCTCAAATTTTTATTGTAGTTAATATATTGAATTTATGGTCAAATTACAATGATTATCTTGATTCATTATATTCTAATGATTCAGATTTTAATACAAGTACATTTAATAATAAAAAACACTTTACCTAAATTTCCCTTTTTGTTCGTATATATATATAAATATATTATAAATTTTATTTTTTTTACAAATTTAAAAATAAATAACAAATTTTAGATTTATGCAGTGATAGCGAATTTAGCAGTTCAGAAACTTCTTTTGTCAGTGAGCATTTAGTATTAAAAGAAATAGATGAGTAATTTAAAAAAAAATAAACAAAAAATAATAAAATAAATATAATTAAATTATTTCCTTATAATTATGATAAACATGACATATTCTTTTTAGAGTAAATGATGATCCAATTGGAAAGAGAATAAAAAAGTTACATAGAAAAAATAGACCAATATTTTTTCATTATTTTCCATCACCAAAAAATGTTAAAGCATATACAGAAAATCCTATTTCTTTTAGTAAAAAAAAAAAAAAAAAAAAAAAGTTAATACTTTTATAAAAAATTATTTCATGTAAAATTTTTCTTAAATACATTTTTCTGATTTTTCTTTATTTTTAAATAGCCAATATGGTAGAGTATAATCATAATGAAGTAATGAGAATGCGAGAAAATAGAATTAAAAATTTTGTAAAAAAAAAAAAAAAAATATACATATATATAAATTAAAAATAGAATAAGGATAAATATTTATTATAAATTTTTTTTTTTTTTTTTTAATGATACATAAATTTATACTCTAAAAATTACAATATTTTTTTTTTTCTTTTTTTAAATCAGAAGAGCAATAATAATAGCAATGAAACCATAATTCTAGAAAATGATGACTCGAATCTAACATATAATTTGTATGATTCAAATGAACATGATGTAAAAATAAATAAATTCTATTCTTTAGATAGTCTTAAAAATTGAGTAAATGTTCTAATAATGCCATTATTATATTGGTAAATATTTAGGAAAAAAAAAAAAAAAATAAATAAAATGTTAAATAATTAAATAAAAATTATACATTATTTAAAAATTAATTTTTTTTTTTTTATTCATTTTTTATAAAAATAAAATAGTTTTTAATTAATATTCATTATTTTGATTTAACTATTAAGAATGATTAAGTCTAAATAGTTTTAAAATTTTTATTTTTGATATTTATTTTCTTTATTTTTCTACTTTTTTATATTTTTAATTTTTCCTTTTTTCCTCATTTTCTTGTTATTCTTATATTCCATTTTTTTTTTTTTTTTTATTTTCCTTTTTGTTCTTTATTTTCCTCTTTTTTTTTTTTTTTTTCGTTTTTTACTGCTTGTCAAATATATGTTATATTAAGATATTTATAATATATTTTTAATGTTAATCTTATGAAGTATTATAGAAAAAAATAATAAATACATTTTTTTTTTTCTTTTCTATAACAAATTATAAACACAAAAAAAAAAAAAAAAATAAATAAATTCTATTTACAATACACTTTTCTTTTAAGTTACAAGAATAAAATATATTTTTTTTTTTTTTTTTTAAATATATTTGAATCTTACAAATTACATTCATAAGATTATCATGATATGATTTCTTTAATATCTTACAATAAAAATTTTTTACTTAAAAAAGGATCAATAAATCTCAAAATTCAAACAAATTATTTTATGTAAATCAAATTATCAAATGAATAAATTATTTTGGTTAAATTTTAATTCCAAATTGCACATAAAAATATAATGATATAATTATAAATATGTTGATAAAAAAGTCTAAAATTGCAAGCTTTATTATAGAGAATTTTTTAAGATTTTTTTTAATTTTTTTTTTTTTTTTTTTTTTCATATTCCTTTACATTTCCTAACACACCATTTGAATATTTCAAACCTTTACTCTTAACATGAATTATCAAATAATTAAAAGAAAAAATAGAAATAGTTTTATGCAAATTTAAAAAGAGCCAAAAAAAAAAAAAAAAAAAAAAAAAAAATTAATGAAAATTATATAAAAATGATATGAACCGGATTTTTTTTTTTTTTTTTTTAAATTATATAATACATATGAATAAAAAAAAATATATGTACAGTATCATATTTTTTTCCGTATTTTTTTTTTTTTTTTTTTTTTTTT